TATTGGGGTTTCTTAAAATTCATTGAGCATAACGCATAGACAAAGATGCGTATAAAAATATATTTTTTGTGGTAAGAATAAACTTGGCATATCTCCATAGAAATACTACATAAAAAGTAAACGCCCGATAAGAGAAGTTTAAAAAAAATGGCAAGCGTCCGTGCCGATGCCCAACGGAGAAGTAACATCGTCCTGAATTGCCGGTCAGTGTTATCGGGGCAATAAAAATGAATTTTTATGTTCCGGTTTTGCATTTTATTGCACCTTTGGTAGGGGCAATTTTTCAGAAACGATGCAATTGCACGCATATATCGCGGGATGTTTGTAATTCAATTATTCACGCTGGCACGTTATATCGCTGGGCGAAAATGACTTCTTTTTCAATTCGAATGTGCTAAATGCTAGAGAGTTTTCTTTTAAACTTGTGCAGCTACCGCTTTTAGCGTAATAGGCGTGGTTGGAATTTGAGATTACGATGGTTGTGCTTCCTGTTGTTGCCTATAACACCGAAATTATTGTACGTATTAAAGAGCCTCTTCCACCTCTTTTGTCGATGCCTTTGTTCTTCACATCCTAGTACTCCTATTTTGGAGCTGCCCGCGTACCAGATTATTTCAGCCTCCATTTCATTATTGGTTCAATTTTCGTGTCTTCTTTGGTTGATACTTGTGTTCTGTATTCCAAAGTCATATTTGTGTATGATGCATAGTTTCAGAATAATATTATTGACCTATGCGATATCTACCGGTCATCTGGCTTGGCCTTGCATAAATAACTATATCAACAAAAACTTGTAATTTTTTTCGTAGAATAATCAAGAAAAACAAGCAAATTCATAAAACATGACATATTTTTGATTGAACAATAATTCAATTGGCAAGTTTTCATACCCTGCGAGTATATCAAAAATAGGATACATAACTTAGGTACCCAAAATTGGACTTGTAAATTTAGGGTTTACGCATAGCAATTGAGGACTATCTAAGGAATATAACTCGCTATCACCAAATTAGGTGTCAGTTAATCCCAAAACGATTGCTGAATTTGTTGGTGCAAGCGGCCATCAGAATTGCAGCAGGAGTTGCGTTTAGAGCTCTAGCGACCCAGAGAAACAATTTTTGAACCCTACTCAACCTCATTTTCATCTCCACATGCCCCACATGATATTTCAAACTGCTTAGAGAAGGATCTTCAAATCTCACGTCAAAATCAATGGTGACGGTAGTGGAAAAGAAGCTGATGTTTATAAGAAGCTTTCTGAGTCACAGGAACAAGAAGCTTCGAATCACGTTAGTGAATCATCAAAATTCAGAAGTTCGGATCTTAAATACAAACAAGATCAAGAAATTTTCGAAAATAAACAAGAAAATCTAATGAAGGTTGACGTCATGGTTTGCTTATTGAAGAAATTGAGGATTATTGTCAAATTAGGTCCTGTCTTTGGTAAAGAAAGTTTAAATGTAGAAAAACAAAAAAGGGACAGTATAAATCTCAAGTATCAGGATACCTATAGTGTGTCATATGCACCACTGTTTGAAAATCTGAATCTGAAATCTGAGGATGAACATATTGAACAGATTGACAAAAATGATCATTAACATGCTTAGCTCTTGTTCTTCATGCAATTGCACAGTATTGGAGTGGCCTTCAATAAGACAAAGCCACTCACTTCTGCTATATTAAAATATGCAAATATATGCTTGCTCTCATCAATGTTATTTATGTACCGTTTTGTTTATGGAAAAAATGTTCGTCACAAATTTAAATAAACCCAACAAAACAATGTTTTTCTTCAGCAGCATTCAGAAGTAAACTTGTAAACATACGTTTCAGTTTTAAACGTTAAAGCCAATTTGGCGTGTAAAAATCGTAGCCAGCGGGCCGGATTTTGCTGGGGCACGTATGTTTTTTCAATTCCACACGGCCGAATGTTACACGTGCCTGTTCTCAGTGCGTCATACGACGCATTAATTGAGGCTTTTGTTTCGATACCGTCAACGGTTAATTGTACCGAAAAATCGCTGCAACGGTTGTTGGTTTACGCAAAAATAATACACCTGAGATGGGGAGTTTTGCTGACATATCCGCTCTCCCTTCTCCTATTCAAGAGCAAAGTTTATCACCATTTACAGTTGCCCTGTACTATTAACATTAAATATCCAGTCATAAAGTTTAATTTTTAGGGGCAGTCCGCAACTTTGTCGACACCATGAAAAACACATGTCTTTAACTTTAACTTTAACTTTGGAACGGAATTATTTCAATCAATTTATTACTCATATACATGCAAATATTAGTAATTAATATTTCTTGTCCTTCCTTTAATTATTTTCTATTTACGACGTTACTTATTTAATTCATATTTTGTTTACTGTATTATAAGTAAACAATATTATGAGAGACCAGGTAAAATATGATACGATCTTTTAAAAAATTTCTGCATTCTAATTTTCTTCTATTTTCGACTGAAGTGTGCTTATGGCGATAAATATTATTTGTTATGGTCCATTTCAGAAACTTGCAGAGTAATAAAACCTCTAGGTATACAAGGGGACTGCAACGTGACCCAACAAATAATTAAACCACTTTCGTTGTTACTCATTTTTTTTTTTATAAATATAGTACTACCCGCGTTTGGGTCCATTTCCATGCTTTGCCTATTGTCAATTCATCAACACTGAAGATGGTGTGCCGAAAGCTCCGGTAAATTCTAAAGAATTTTATTTTAACAGAATATAAATTAGATATTATGTGCACAGTATTAAATACCCTTGTTTTTAATTGAACATCTATTTATAATCTATTTATAAAACATAATAATCTTTTTCATGATCTTTTTCTTGTGTCATCTCTTCGTGATCCAGTAGTCAAGATCCCACATTTTCTCCTCTCGGACTGAATGAAATGGTGGCGTGTCCAGTTAAATTATGTTCTTTTGCTATACCGTCCCTGGCGCATTTGATAAAACGATAATAATTTTACTGCACAAAGTTTACCTACGCCTACGGTCGACTTTAAAATTTCTGAAAAGTCCGTAGTATTGGTTATCTTGTTTTTAAATTTTTCTGCTTTTTTTGTCCTAAATATTAACCATTTCTTGGACAATGATTTTCTTGCTTTTGTTAGTTTTGGTTAGTTTGTTTTAGTTCATCTGTTGATGTCTTATCTTTTAATCCCGATTTGTACAGCTTACCAAATTAATCAACCGGAATTCTTCAAGTCAAACACTTACTTCAAATACTAATAGCATAAAATTGGAGAGAAAAAAATCAGTCGTCGCCACTGCATTCAACCAGTGTTTGGATCCGCAACGAATAAAGCCGGATTAAATTATGTTTATTGCGAATCCTCCCCGTCGCCTTGCAACATTATCTTCGGGTTTAATTTAAACGGGCAGTTTTCAGGCAATAAAAATGCACGCCTTCTGGCTTCCTGAAAAAGCGCCTTTTTATTTATTACCTTGACTGTAAATTCTCCTAACAGTTCCGACGATACGGCAAATAAAACCCCACTAAAAGGGTTTGCTTGGTATACAATAATCGCCGCTTAACGGTAAGCTCTGCAATCATTGTGTGAATACATATTAAAACAAGTTTCGAAATACTTTATTCTCTGTATTATTAATTATATTTATTATGCTCTCGGAGTTCGCAATTATTTTTTAAATATGCTATATTTATTCTATAAAATTGTTGGCAGCGAAACCTAAGCAAGCAACACCGTCAAATACTTGACTGGATTTAGATTTATTAAATTTGGAAGCAATTGTTCTGCAAAAATTGCTAAATACCATACTATACCATACCATACCAAAGTTGGGAAACCAAAAATTGTGTAACAAAGCATGGACTAAGAGAAACCATGTAATACTTAAGATTGGGTATCAATACACAACCATATGCAGTTCCTAGGGATATTTAGTTTTGAAATTTAGTTTTTAAGTAATCGGGAGAACCTAGATTCTAATCCTTTGTATTGTTTGGATAGCATGCTTCTTCGCTTGCTCATACCTCGCTTGATTAAATGATGTTAAATGCTGAATGTAATTTTACACATGACACTCCTCAGCGTTCAGATCATTTATGTCATTGCTAGCAGCATTAATCGTCGACTTGTTTAAGATTATCTCGAAGATCAAGACGAAGATTGAGATTTTCCTAATCCATTCTTACCTCCCAACATTTTTTTTAGAATAATGTATAAAATACACATATTCCTCATTATATTTTTATATAAGTATGAAGATATGATATTTTTAATTTATATTATTTTATGAATATTTAAACTTCAAAATGATCCAAAAATCAATTTTGGAAAAAGAAAAAGAACAACATGTACCGACATATAAACAGATGATGAAAACTTATCATCCACAAGTGAAAAGAAGCTACAAAAGTTCATCAGTATATAATGAAAACATTTCTTTGAATGTACATCGTTTAGTTAAAAGTAAGAATTTTCGTTGTACGTTTTAGATACTACTTTCAATACTCAACGTCTGATATTACATAAGCAAAACCTTATCATATTTCACATGACACGTATCTACTGAAGTAAAGAAAAAAAGGTGGAAGCGGGGATTTTTCAATTTCCTTACAGAATAAAAGGCAATATGTTTTTGCGTTTCATTTTAGCATGTCCATAAAATGTGTCTTTGGGTGGGCGAATGAGAACGTTTTATTTTGTGCCATACAGTTTTATTTAAATACTAGCGACATTGCAAAATAAAACGTTTATTCATCACACTTTATCAATACTTAATATGCTGTTAATATGGACCACATCATTTTTTTTGGAATAAATTTTTATTGTGTAATCAAAACGTCATCAAAAACAAACCATTGTTCAACGCAGCTAACTACTTAAGCCCGCACTGATACACTATCTGAAGATCGCCTAAAAAATATTTGAGGACATAAATACTTGACATGATGAATCAAGAATATTTTAATCGATATAAAAACCTTCCTATTTAGCGGCAATTGTCAGTTTGCCTTTTATTTGACTTATTAAAACAATGGGTGGCTTGGGGTTTATTTTCAACATTGTTTTTTTATTTTCGGTCGGTTCATATGCACCGTTTGTAAATGCTGATTCTTGTACCATCAGCTCATACGACCAGGTTGACACTGTCCTGGCAAGTTGTGCCACTGTAACAGTCGGGAGCTTTACCGTACCAGGAGGCAAGAGCTTGATAATGCAACCGAAAGATGGAGCATACGTCACATTTACAGGGGAAATAAGATTCGAACATTACAATTGGGACGGACCGCTAATTCAAATTTGGGCGACGAATGCTGTCATTAAGGGAGACGATAGTAGGTAGCGTTTGGTCTTTGTGTCATTTTTGATGTCGCTTTTTTGGAGAATGGTTCAATCTTCGCATTTTTAAATCTCTATGTACAGATTTTTAAGTAAATAATCTTAGGATAACTGTAGATATGTATTTTACTGAAATTTTGGCATCATTGTGTAGAGACGAGCAAAATTCCAGGACATAATTCTTTTGTTTTTTGGGACACACTTTGTATATTTCAAATTTCTTAACTGCATCTTATTTTATCGCACATAATCAAATCATGGTGTTTGCAATGCCTCATGAATATTATTGGAATTTGGAACGCCCACTGCTTTATAGCTGTTTTACAATATTTCATCATAAATGGGTTGAAAATCAACGATAAACATTTGCAGATCACCTGTTTCATGGCCTGGGTGAATCTTACTGGGGTTTCGATGGGTCAAAACCTGTGTTAATGTATCTCAGAGGTACACACACCGGATTCTATGGATTCAAGATAAAGAACTGCCCGCAGCGATGTGTTGCGTTAGACAGCTCCAAAAATTCTGTGATTGGCAACTTCATTATCGACAACTCTGATGGAGTGGGTGTAAGTAAACTTCAATAGAACACAACTCTTCCGAGTGTGATTTGCACTGCTCATGGCGAGTGAAACATTAATCATCAATTATATTTGAAATATATATTTGCTGACTTAAAAGGCATTAGAAAAGAAACAATTACATGCAATTTACATTAAAACATTTTTTGACCGAACTTTTTGGCATCGTAGTTTATTATTGCAATAACTTCTTGCTTATTATACATAATTATATACTTAACACAATAATTAAACTCAACGAATTGGTTCGACATACCATACGGTAAGAAGAAATTAGAAATTATAAAATATAAAAAACTAATTTTCTTTCACTCTACTTAAGAATTAACGTTCTCATCAGTATATTCTGTGTTATTTGTCTATGTTCAACAGTCTGCAAGGAATACTGACGGTTTCGATGTTGCCAAATCGAGCGGTATTACAATCAAAGACAGCGTGGTGAATAATCAAGACGATTGTGTGGCGATTAATTCGGGATCCGACATTTTGGTCGACAATCTGCAATGTACCGGAAGTCACGGATTTGATATTTCGTCCGGGTTGTCCAAGGGTAGCGACAACTTCGTTTCTAATGTTACGTTCCAAAATTCGGTATTTATTGGAGGCATGGTGGGTCTCAGCATGTTGTCGCATACCGATGGAGGAACTGGGGAAGTCAGCAATATCAATTATAATAATATTCATATAGAAGGTAGGCGATTAACGGAAAATGTACCTGAATACAAACGATTACATTTAAGGTCCATCAGATTACGGTATCTTTTTCCATCAAGACTTCTCCAGTGCCGCTCAAGGTAACACTGGTGTGCCGGTAGGCACTGTAGTCTTTTCGGATATAACTCTCAATAATATCTACGGTTACGTCGATGGTAAATACTCGTCCGGGGTTTGTCTACGATGCGCTTCGGGATACTGCAAGAATTTCAACTTCTATAATGTGGATATAACCGGCGGGAAGAACAAGGACGAATGTAATGTGCAGCCTAATGGATATACTTGTAAATGATCTGAAATAAATTCAATAAAATCATCAATCCGGTGTTTGATTTGGTCATATATCACAATTTCATTCATGGATATACCGGGTGTCCATTTTTAACGCTACCACTGTTAGTCTATTCTCTAATTTAAGCGATATTGTAGTTCATAGCATTTCGGAGATAGCAAATTGTGATTGTACTTAAACCGGACATCCTGTATACTAATAAATGATATGGCTAAAGCATTATCTTATTGAAGAAAGTAATTGTTCTGTCCTCATAACAGTCAATGCCCGTCTTGGTTATGTGTCTTTCAGAATATGTGGGTCAAAATTAACATTGATTTGTTGTAACTCTTTATAAACTTTTGCAAGATACCGCGAAGATATAATCAACAATCACAGGTAATAGTTTTGAATATGTTGACTTTTTTCAATTGGGAAAATATCAATCCAAATTGATAGAGTAACGGAACGAGCTTCAAATGGAACACACCTTAGCCATACAACAATCATAAATATCACTTCAGATTACGGATCATTACTAAAATATTAATAATATAAGAAACGGGCTACTTGAACGCGTGACATCATTCCCGAAAGGTAACACGCCAACTATAGGCAGTGAATATTAATCAAATATTTAATTTTGATAAACTAAGACCCTATCAATGTTGATTCAACATAATTTATTTTAAAATGGGAGGAGAAGCCAAAAAGCCAATAGAGACCGTGCGTTAAAACCACGTCAGAGAGTATGCAGAATTGAATGATATTCCCCGTATTGCCCCTAAATTTCACACACTACCTATATTTGGCGCCATTTTCTTCCTAAACAGCAGTATTATTTCTATGAAAGTTGAACACATTTGAACACATTTAAACAAAATACTGTCGAATTGACGAACTTTTGGCGCCCATGTTGATTGCCGAACGCAGTAAGGTCTTGTTGGTGGAAAGTGAGATTTGAAATGATATAGTCTCTCTGAAGGAGAGTTTTAATATAACGAAAGAACATAAAATATTCCTTCTCAATATTTATGATGATTTCAAAATGTTGGCACTGAGGGAAATAACAAGGCTGATAAACACGAAAAAAGACAGACTACTGAATAAACTGCTGGAAAGACAGTTCTCGCAATATTGGGAGAGGAGGAATAGCAGGAGGCCCTAATTAGAGGACGCCGGAGGAACAAAAGTGGACCCTGATAAACACGAAAAAAGACAGATTTCTGAATAAACTGCTGGAAAGACAGTACTCGCAATATTGGGAGAGGAGGAATAGCAGGAGGCCCTAATTAGAGAACGCCGGAGCAACAGAAGTGGACCCTCGACCTAAGTGCATGTTGGTAGAAGTCCTGCTAGGACAGTGCAACACTGTATTTTGTTTCCAGAAGTTTGTAATGACCTTTTAGATTGTTCTGAATGACGTTGTTAGCACTGCTAATTTTTTTTTATAGTAACATAGCATAAACCCGTAATAAAATCTATTTTAATCTACTCCCAACAGCGTAGTTGCAATCTAAGCTATTTTTGCTGCTACAGCTGCAGATAAGGAATTATTAATTATAGTGTTTTGTGAGACATATGATAATATTTTTTACTATACTTTTACATAATGGTATATTAATCAATATAATTACTATAGCGACGTGGTTTGTACTTGTACTTATAAAAAGAAAATCAGTTTTATAACAATAATAATGTTTAATAATTTTTCTACTCCCGTCTGTAAAATACTTAATTCCCCACTGATCTAGCGTGCGGGAAGCGTCACTTTACCACGTCAGTTTCGTTTCCCACGAATGCGAGCCACTTCGGACATTTCCGGGATTTTACCGCACGGATTTGGGAGCAATAGGATGTTTTCGGATATATTTACTACGCTTTGAATTTTGACGTTTGTCAATTCTCACGGTCATGTCAGTGGCAGGTATTCGTTTTATTTTGCGAAAATATACCCAAAAACTAACGGTCGTAGAAAAAGTATAGTACGCAACAAGTTCGGTAAACTTTTTAACTCACTCGTTTATTAAAAAACTCCCTCCGCTGCGCTCTGCTCGTGTCAAATAAACTCTTGAGTCAAATGCCGTTTACCACACTTGTTGGATAATATACTATTATCGCACTAAAAGCAAATGTACGCAGAAATACATTCGTATAGTTTAGGTTTAGAATGAAACGCCAGCGTATCAGATCATCACTGTATCACAAGGAAAAAATTAAATTAGAGAAAATAAAAATCGTTATGAGAATTAAAAACTCTGTTTAATAACTTCAATAGCAGCATAATAAACTGAAAAACAAAACAAAGAGTGAATATCAAACAAAATAGATGGCGAAACAGATCAATAAGACATAGTTATTCTAATAATAAATTTTAACATTTATTAGCATGCGATTAACAGCAATTGATTTAAATATTCCGAAGAGTTTTTATATGTCCATTAGTATCATCAGCTAGCTATTAGATAACTAGTGGCCCTACTGCCATAAAAAACGATGCGATTTAGGTTTCTATGACATTTTCGTAGATATTTAGTGAAAATGTTTTCTGGGATCTGGACATAATTTGGACATATATCCAAACTTATTGACGATCTGTCAGCGGCCATGTTGGTTGCTGAATGTCATAAGGTCAGTGGTTAAAAACGAACTATTAAATCTCGCGTATGCGCTTGTTGAATGGAACTTTTCAAAATTGATTTTCATAGTTGCTTCATAAGTTCCTGTATTATCAGCTTAGTATAATTAATTGATTGAATATTAATTGTACAAAACATTTCGTGGTAGCTTTTTACATAATCAGTTTTGATTAGTTGCATATCCGGGAGAGAAAACAACGTGAGAAAGATAAACATTTCCAAAACACTTGCACCATCTGCGAATAAAAATAAATACATTAAGTACCTTAGCAGGATGTTTAGTTTTCTTAATTTCGTCATGACTCTTATCGAGAACGTTTTGGCATCACTTTTCGGGACATTGTTACTGGCAAATCCACCAGTAGTAAAGGCAGACTCGTGTACCATTAGCTCCTATGATCAAGTAGCCAGCGTTGTAAGCAGCTGCACAACCGTGACCGTTGGTAGTTTTACGGTTCCGGCTGGTAAAAGTCTCGACTTAAAATTCAAAGATGGTGCTTACGTAACCTTTAAGGGCGAGATCAGATTTGAACATTACAATTGGGATGGGGCTCTTATATCGATTGAAGTTAACAATGGTATTGTAAAAGGCGACGAGAGTAAGTGTTAATTATCCTTAATGTTTCGCCTTGCACGTCATAACTTTTCAGATAACCTATTTCTGGCCTTCGGTGAGTCTTATTGGGGATGCGAAGGCGCCAAACCGCTATTTATGCGTCTCGTAGGAGTACACACAGGTTGTTATGGGTTAAAACTGAAAAATTGCCCACAAAGATGTGTCTCGATAAACCGTTCCAGGAACTCAGTATTCGGCAATTTTGTTATCGACAACGCAGAAGGAGTTGGTGTAAGGATAAGGTTTTCTTCTAATATAAATATTTTCTGGGATTTGCGACTAACTCTTTCAATATAATTTTTGTTACAGAAAGCTGTAAATACCGACGGTTTCGATGTAATCAAATAGACCGGATTAACCATCAAAGATACCATCGTGACAAACCAAGACGATTGTGTAGCTATCAATGCAGGGAAGGATAACGTTCTAGTTGACAACTTGCAGTGCATCGGAAGCCACGGATTTGACATCGTCTCAGGCCAAGGCAAGGAGGAAGACAACCACATCAGAAATATCACCTTCCAGAATTCCGTTCTTATTGGAGGAATGGTCGGTCTTAGCATGTTGTCCGTCATCGAAGGAGTTAAAGGAGAAGTTAGCAACATCATTTATAATAACATTAAAATTCAAGGTCGGTTGATGTCGTTTTTGTATCATCGGAAATGTTGAAAACGACGCTTTTTAGGACCATCTGACTACGCCATAATGTTCCATCAAGATTTTTCAAATGCTATTGGTGGCAGTACCGGGGTTCCAGTGGGTACTGTCGTGTTTAAGGATATAACATTGAATAATGTGTCCGGTTACGTCGAAGGTCAATACTCTGCCAAAGTTTGCTTGAGATGCGCATTAGGTTATTGCAACAATATAAATTTCAATGGCGTTGATCTTTCCGGTGGAAACTACCCGGACGAGTGCACCATCCAACCTAATGCACTGTGCAACAATGCACTGTCAAATGAAATTTGTAATATATATTCTAATGGAAAATTGTTTTAATGCACACACAAGACCGCTTGCAATTCTACATGAAATAAACGTAAAAGTGAAAAACAGAGGAAAGTTCAAAGAGGTGAAAAGTTACTATTGTTATTATGTCGACATATACTATTATATTTATCTTTAGAAATGCGAATATTAATCTATCAGAAAGCTGTATATTTGGCTGTAATTTGTCAGTATTCATTTCAGGTGCCTGTCGAGTAATAAGATCTGCGATGTACACAGTGTTTAGTTTTGTATAGTTTAAATCCTCGTCTTTATACTTCACTTTTTAAATGTTGCTTGTTTGGAAATCCAATGAGTATTGTCAACATTCTATAGATTAATATGTAATAGCCACCTTGCTCATACAAATATTAAGTTGTGTTTTGCTTCTAAACTTTACAATTTAGGTATAGGAACATGAAATATGAACAAAGTCTCTGGTATATAAATAATTATGGACACTATAGCTCTTATATGAGATAGAAAAGAAAACTGAAAATCAAGAATAACACCCACTAATCTTGCAAACATGATGGATAATATGTATAATATATATTATAAAAAATAATGCACATACTGCGAACAAAATCATTTGTTATCGGTGTCATTTTCTAGTGGAGATAATTACCCAAGGTACTTCAGAAAACTGCGAAGGTTGTGTTATAAAAATTATTTCAACATAAATATTTTTTTTAAGTTATATATTTTCGCCATGGGTTTGGTAGTTGATTATTTGGCAAGGATTGCAATATTCTTGCTAATCCAGTCAGTAACGATTAAAGCTGATTCGTGCAACATTAATTCCTATGATCAAGTCGCAAGTGTCGCAAGCTGTACGACTATCACCGTTGGAAGTTTTACAGTACCTGGTGGAAAAAGTCTGGAGTTGAAACTTAGAGACGGCGCATATATTACATTTACTGGAGAAATTCGATTCGAACACTACAACTGGGATGGACCCTTAATATTGATAGATGTTAACAACGGTATTGTGAAAGGTGACAACAGTAAGTATTAGAGGTATATTCCCAATAATTTCTTTAAAATCAAAAAATACGATGACAAAAAAGTTTGATAGAAAAATTTCAGACAATCTATTTAATGGTCTCGGAGAATCGTACTGGGAATATACAGGTACGAAGCCCCTGTTTATGCGCTTAGTGGGGACACACACGGGATTTTATGGGTTAAAACTTAAAAATTGTCCACAAAGATGCGTGTCTATAAATCGGTCAAAAAACTCTGTTATCGGTAATTTCGTTATCGATAACGTCGACGGTGTTGGGGTGAGTACTTCGTTTTATTCCTTACTCTAAAATACCCAACTATCACTTTAAGAAATCACGCTCTGCACTATTCACACTTTTCCCCTTTCAAAAAAACAAAACAGAATAATAAAAAAATAATACTGTTTTTTTATTTCGATGTCAAGTTTGAACATTACATAGGAAACTTTAAATTTAAGTTAAGTTAGCGATTGTACCAGATTTAAAGCTCTAACTTTGTCAAAAGTATGAGGTTAATTAAACAAGAGATTAAGAAAATTATCACTATTTACAACACTTCTGGATTCCTCCCGCGTCGGTTATTGTTAACGTTTCGCCAATCATTCTGTTGGCTTCTTCAGTTTCAGTTAAGCTTTGAATAATTTAATAAGAATTATTATTCAATGCTTCCCAACACTGTAGGAGTTCAACAAAACGCACGGATGATATCCCGGAATATATTGTCATCACATTTTTCCATCATTACACATTTCCCCATCCGCAAGCGAAATATCAGCCATTTGGCAAAAATGAAACCAAAAAGTAAAAATCAGAATCAGAAAAATCAGCATTTGTTTTAGAAAGCCAAGAATACAGACGGATTCGATATTATCAAATCATCGGGACTGGTTGTCAAGGATACGACAGTCACCAATCAAGACGACTGCGTTGCTATCAATGCAGGAACAAGCAATATTTTGGTGGATAACTTTCAATGTATCGGCAGTCACGGATTCGACATATCTTCCGGACTGGGAAAGGATTCTGATAACTTTATCTCTAATATCACTTTTCAGAATTCTTTATTAAGTGGAGGAATGGTCGGTCTTAGCATGTTATCACACATCGAGGGGGCAAGGGGTGAAGTGCGCGATATCAATTACAGTAATATTAAAATTGAAGGTAAAGTATACTCCTTAAAAGATTTGGATCAATATTTACCCCAAATGTGTTTACTTTAATATTGTGCTAAAATTTATGTTTTATCCCAAAATATTTTCGATGCTTTTATATATTCATGTGTTTTATGGAATTTAAAATACCGATTTCATACTCGTAAAAGCAATTAAAATTTGGTTTCTATTCATTGGTTTATAAAATATTTCAAGCCATATTATGGCTTATGGAATTTGGTGAATGTAATATAAATAATATAATTTGAAACTCACGGATCGAGTAAATTGAGTTATATTACTTAGGCGAAACAAATTTTTTGACACAAACATACAAAAACTGGAAATAATATAAATACGCTATTATTTTCCATACTGAAATATCTCCACTTCACCCTGAAGTTGATGTAAGCTGCGGTGGTAACGGCCTTACAGCAAAGTTAGTCAAATTTCAATAGAAAAAAACTGCTAGTAATGAGAATTGTTGAATTTCTCTTGCGCTTTTATGTAAACGGAAGAATTGGGTATTCTAATTGTATGCTTACTTTATTTACTTGCTGAAATTATTTTCACATTAATATATTTTTTAAATATTTGTATTAGTTTAGAATTATTGAAACACCAAAAAAAATCGCATTAATATTTTTCATTTTTACATGGACAAATTTTATTTACATACTCATATTTATATATTTTATTTAAAAAATAACTTAATAAGGCACCATTTTAAAAATTGTTAAAATATAAAAAAAGGAAACAATCGATATTGGCTACAATTGGCTACCGAGTTTCTAGTCGTTTTCAATGTAATCAGGATAACAACCAACATGCTCTTTTCCTTGCCACTTTTTTAATATACCTTTTACACACAGCAAAAATGTTAATTTAAAAAATTAACATTTCAGGTCCTTCTGACTATGCTATAATGTTTCATCAAGATTTCTCTACCGCAATTCAAGGTAACACCGGCATTCCAGTGGGTACAGTCGATTTTAGAGATATAAACCTGAATGGTGTTACGGGTTATGTCGAAGGTCAATATTCCGCCAGAGTTTGTTTGAGATGCGCGGCCGGATATTGCGAAAACATCAGTTTCAACAATGTAAACCTCTCCGGTGGGAACTACCCTGACGAATGCAGTATACAGCCAAATGGATACAAATGTATTACCAAATAGAACTTCATATTCGTAATTTTGCACCAGATGGCTTGGTCATATTAAAAACTTGTCACGAAATATTATGTGTTTGTGTGATTAATTGGTCAACAATTGTAGAAAACTTTAAACTAATAGATTCAATTCTAATGATCTTGTAGATCGGTTACAACCACCATGGGATAGTTCTGGAGTATATTTTGGGATTTTGTTTCTTCGATCAGTGACTTAATTGTTATGATGCTATCAAAAAAACATTTTCTAAAATCCCAATTACCAAGTATTTTTTCTGCAAATGATCTTTTATGACGAACAATATATATAAATAAATTTATATATTTGAGTCAAAGGAAACACGCAATAACTTAGGTCTAATCATTGTGATCTCTATTGTGATGAAATACCCGAAAATATACTCATTCAAATTGAAAAAAGCATAATACTTGAGATAAATTTTCTACAATGTTATAAACATCCGCCTTTTAACAAACGCATCAGTAAGCGTCGAACGCAACAAAACAATGGCTGCCTTAGTTCGTTCGCTTGTCGTGATCCTTCTGGCACTCTCGTTCTCCTCGTTCACGCCAACTGTAAAGGCAGCCTCGTGCACTATTAATTCATATGATGAAGTATCAAGCGTTGTGGCAAGTTGTACTGATATTACCGTCGGTAGTTTTACAGTACCAGCCGGAGAAAGTTTGATAATGAACATGCAAGATGGTACATATCTTACTTTCACTGGTTTAATCAAATTCGAGCATTCAAACTGGAATGGTCCACTCGTGCAGCTTAGGGTTACCAACGGTGTTATCAAAGGAGACAGTAGTAAGTACTGTCTTGTCTTTTTATGCGTTTAAATGGAGCAATCTAATGGAAAAACTACATCCAAAGTTTACTTAGTTTTAAATTCAACTTGGATTTTTTGTACACTCGTAACTGATTAAGCCTGTTGATGCCCGCTACAGACCACTTATTCCATGGTCAGGGAGAATCTTACTGGGGTAACACTGGTACTAAGCCACTGTTTATGTACATCAACGTCGTACACACTGGCGTCTATGGATTCAAAATTAAAAATTGCCCGGAAAGGTGCGTCGGAATCGACGGTTCCAGAAATTCTGTGTTTGGTAACTTTATTATCGACAATGCGGATGGTGTTAATGTAAGTGAAGTATTGCCGTAAAATTCCTTATTAACAAATTAAAATTGCATTTTGTGTAGTTGGCACGTAATACAGATGGTTTTGACGTGGCGAAATCCTCCGGAATCACTCTCAAAGACACCACCGTGACTAATCAAGATGATTGTGTGGCTATTAACTCGGGTTCAGATATTTTAGTGGACAACTTTGTGTGTACCGGTAGTCATGGGTTCGACATTGCTGCTGGTCAGGATCTCAACAACGACAATTTCGTTACAAACGTTACTTTCCAGAATTCGATATTGGTTGATTCAATGGTTGGGTTGAGCATGTTATCAGTAGTCGATGGTGGAACTGGAGAAATCAGTAAAATAACTTATAACAATATTAAAATTCAGGGTAATCATTATTTTTGGTTGTCTAACTGGAAGCGTTACTAATATATCATTTTCTAGGTGCTTCCGACTATGGCATAATGTTCCATCAAGACTTCTCCAACTCGGGGCAAGGTTCGACCGGTAAACCCGTTGGCACGGTAGTATTTTCTGATATTACTTTAAATGATATTGTTGGATATGTCAATGGGCAATACTCTGCGGGAGTTGTTCTGAGATGTGCGGAGGGTTACTGTAAGAATTTCAATTTCAACTATGTTGACATCACTGGAGGAAAGTCTCCCGACGAGTGTAGCATTCAACCGAACGGATACACCTGCCATTAGTTTTGACTTATTGTAAATATATTTTTTTGATGTATTTTAACATTAATAAACAATTAAATTTCTATCTCTTCGCTTTTTCAAAAGAAATCCTTCAGCAGGTAACTTTTTGTTTTGTTTTAGTGCTACAGCACACTTTGTGCTGAGATCCTTCTTTTAATGAAAACTAAAAAAATCTTTTGTGACATTTTCGTCCACTAAGTACCAAGCCTTATATTTCTATGGCAATTATAACATTTTTTAAATATAAAGCACTATGAGACATAATCTTTTTTTATGTTAGTGCGACGTTTTGCGACGACTTTGCCAGCTTTTTACCCTAAACAATAAAAAATCAACTTTATCAGGTGTTTTCAAAAAAGCATCAAGTAGCTTCATTTTTAACATACGACATTAATCGAACAATAAAACTAAATCATGAAAAACTCGAAAAAGTCAGGGGTCTACTAGTTGATATGTGGATCATGTGAAAAAAATTATATCCGATATACATGTAGAAAATTTAAGAAACACATTAACGAACATAAAAATTCGAATTTTGAGAATGCCATTCATTTAAATTCAGAAATAGACAAGATAATTTTTTGAAATTTGTTGAAAGCTATGGAGATTAATAAAATGAGATATTTGAATCTATTACTCAATGAATCTCGTACTACCTGATTGTATATATAGATGTCCGAAAATTGTCATATTTTGTATATGAAAAAGGCACGGTGTTGCCGAAGCAGCTGTCATATTTCATTTTGTTATAATTTAATTGTGTTAAATGGATGTTCATCAAGTAAAAGCCACCTCAGTTCAATTATTTTTTAGAAAATATGTATTTGGATTCGGAAAGTTTTTATCAGGATGAAAATTTTTTTACATTCAAAACTGAGAGAGGAAATCTAATCAATCATTGCTTTATTAACGTTTGTTGTAAAATGTTCATGTATGGCCACATTATAGCTTCCCTAGATCGAGCGCATTACTGTGCATTTTCAATACTCTTAATACAGATAACGCTTTTCAATGGAAATGGTTTTGCTAGATCTTGATGATAATCGTGTCATTTAAAAGTTGTTTGTTATTGAAAAAACGTATTAACACACGTGACCAAGTGATTGGTGATAAGTTGAAATCAATTTAAAAAATAACGTATAAATAGATGTATACGTTGTGTTAAGCATATGCTTCGCATTCAGTAATGGGGTTCCTTGCAAACATTGTTGCGGCCGCATCGGTGGTGCTTCTGATAGCATCTTATCCGCCTGGGGTAAGAGCAGATTCTTGTACCATCACCTCATATGACCAAATCAGTAGCGTAGTATCCAGTTGTAGTACCGTGACTTTTGGAAGTTTTACGGTACCGTCCGGAAATAAACTGGATATTAAATTCTTAGATGGTGCTTATGTTACCTTCACTGGTCAAATTAAATTCGAACACTACAATGGCGATGGCCCACTTATAAAGTTGACAATTAGCAATGGTGTGGTGAAAGGAGATGACAGTGAGTATTATAATTAAGTTTTGTTGTATGGGTATGTGGGTTTATGTTGTATAATGCTGGGGGACCTATTCATTAGCCAAATTTTGTAGATCACTTGTTTAATGGGCTCGGAGAAACATACTGGGGCTTAAGCGATACTAAGCCTCTACTAATGCGTCTTGTCGGACAACACACTGGATTTTATGGATTCAAAATAAAGAATTGTCCTCAACGGTGTGTTTCGATTAACAGTTCCAAGAATTCCGTCATAGGAAGTTTCATAATCGACAATACTGACGGCATTGGTGTAAGTGAACTTTAGCAGGTTCTTTTGTTGTCCTAATCTGATTACATTTCAAACAGAAAGCAAAAAATACCGATGGATTCGATGTCAGTTCGTCTAGCAATATTGTAATTAAAGACACCACCGTGACCAATCAAGATGATTGTGTGGCTATTAATTCAGGTTCTGATATTTTAGTGGACAACCTTCATTGTATCGGAAGTCACGGATTCGATATTTCTGTTGGACAGGGTAGTGGAAATACCAACTTTGTTACAAACGTTACCTTCCAGAACTCCATACTAACTGAAGGTATGGTAGGCCTCAGTATGCTTTCGCATGTTGAGGGTGGAACCGGAGAAGTTAACACTGTTAATTATAATAATATCAAAATAGAAGGTAAGTTTTACTGAATGTGGCTACTAACTACATTTATAATTAAAATAATGTATTTGCACGTGTTATCGGTATCATTAATACCTTGTCGAATAAAATAAATGAAGAAGTCTATCTGGAGTTAATTGTTCAATGAATTCAATGTGGCTCAGAATATGAGTTTAGTTTCAAATAGTAGATCTGATCATCATCTAAGAAAAGTTTAATTTTAGGCGCTACCGACTACGCAGTTTTCTTTCATCAAGATTTCTCCAGTGCTTCCCAGGGTAACACGGGTGTTCCAGTAGGCACCGTTGTATTTTCTGACATCACTCTCAATAATGTTTCTGGCTATGTGGACAGCAATAAGGCCGCTGCAGTGTGCTTACGATGTGCGTCGGGATACTGTAAAAATTTCAACTTCAACGGGTTACAGATAAGCGGTGCTAAGAAGAAGGACGAATGCAGCATCCAACCAAACGGATATAAATGCAATACTTAAAAAGTTTATTGTCATTTCGAAAAGGAAAATAAACCTCATTTTATAAATAATTTTTTTGTCGTCATATCTCAAGAAAAAATATAGATAAGATAGCAATTATTTATCAGTTCATGGTTTGATGTTGTGAAATAATATCAATGTCAGATCGTCTATTTTTGAAAGTTTTTGAAACTGCATTACAATTAAAAATTGTTTGTTATTTATAGATTTATATACAAGGTTTTATAATTGAATATCAATAATCATGGGGCGATTTTTGGGACCATTTAAAAAAAAACGTCATATGAACGTATGTCCTTACGTCTTAACGTCTCGTTTTTTGGGTCTATTTTCAAAAGAAAACCTCATATGAACGAATGTGCTAATGCCTTAACTTTTGAGATTCAGGGTGCTAAAGTTCTCAAAAATAAAATACAATTTTTTAATATCTGTAATGCCACTTTGGATATTTTAATGAAATTTGGCACACATTTACATTGAAATTGTATCAAGAGGCACAATTCTTTTTAAATATACCAGTGGCGGGGGTACATAATTTCGCATGTCTATTTTAGCAGACGTTGATGGTAAAACACTGATTTTTCTTAAAATTGAAAATTATTATTATTAAAAAATAAGCTTGAGCGTATAATTAGGTATTGCAGAGTCGGAGTAAAAAATAGTATATTATGCAACAACGGCAGTTGAGTCACGAGTTTATTTGGCACTAGTGGAACGCAGCTGAGTGAGTGTTTCATAAACGAGTGACTTAAAAGTTTACCAAACGTGTTGCATACTATACTTTTTCTACGACTGTTAGTTTTTGAGTACATTTTTGCAAAACAACACGGATAAATTATCCCAAAACATCCGTTTGCTCCCGAAGCTGTGCGGTAAAATCCAGGAAATGTCCGAAGTGGCTCGGATTCGTGGGAAAGGAAACTGACGTGGTAAAGTGACGCTTCACGCACGCTAGATCGATGTGTAATTAGGCATTTTACAGACTGGAGTAGAAAAATATACTTTTAGTAGAAATGAATAAAATGGAATTATGAATTTAATTCATTACGTAAAATTTGATTTCTGATTCTCAGTTTTAGTTTTATTAAATTTCCATAAAAAAATATAACAATTTAATAAGCTTTTTTATAGATCGAAAATGTTCGATATTTTAAGTTAGAACATAGTCGCAAAATAAAAAAATGAAAATAGGAATTGATTTATTTTTATATTTTCATTTCAGTGCTGCAAACAAGTCACTTTTATTCAAATTTATGCTGAAGACAATAAAATAGAATCATTTATTTACAGAGTTCAATGCAATGAGTGTCTCTTAGACTCATGCTATAACATGCCAGGTGTATATAATAATTCACTTAAGGACATTTATTACACAAAATGAATTGTAAAAACAAAAATTAAAAAAAAATGGAGACAGTAAATTACAAGGTCATATGTTTTCATAATTCTTTTGTGTTTGTGTATGCTCTAAAAGCTTTTGATTACAGGAAATTCACGAGGGAGTTTTATAATTTTTGTAATGAAGGGCTTTTTACGTCAGAGGGGATCAAATTGCAATACACATATACTCTATTGCACATAAAATAACGATTTTAGTATTTTATGGCGTTGAAATGTTTCCCTTCACCACTGTAGCCTTTTTTGCTATATAAATATCCTACCAGCTTTGGTAGCACGTCCCCTTGTCCAGTACTTTTAGGAATAGAAGAAAATGCCATTAGTGGCTTAAAAATTTATACCAACAATTGTCATTTACTTACGAGATGAGACAGCAAATTAACTAGACCTTTTTACTTTACAGCATCCGCTTCTCGGCTTTTTTCTATCGTGCTCCTGAGGACCAGTTTCGCAAAATCAATATATATATATATATATATATATATATATATATATATATATATATATATATATATATATATATATATTCTCACGTATTGATTCACGGATGGAAAAATGTGATGACACTATATTCCGGGATATCATCTGTTCGCTCGTTGAACTCCGACTGGAATCCTGCATCCGACTGGAATCCTGCAAATCTTGCATCCGACTGGAATCCTGCAGACGTTTCGCCAAAATCTCACTTGGCATCTTCAATGCTCGCGCTCCGAAAACACTTCGAACACTGGGAGGTTATCGGCGGTGCGTGCGGTATTTATACTCTGCGCCGGAGATGGTAACGGTGCTGCTTGTGCGTAGGGGGAGGTGGCTCCGCCCCCTGAATTGTCGCGATGTTAATTTCGCCGGATCGTAGTTGCGATGTCCCCGTTGGCTGCTGCGCATCGCTCTGCTGTTTGATTATCGTTCTCCACGTGTTGGATAAATGCAGAGCGTCGTCTCTCGTATTGAGGTGTCCGGACTTTTCTATTTCGATGGCCTCTCGTATAATCCTAGTCCTAAAATCAGGAATATTAGCTATTTGTTTGCAAGTGCCGAAATCAATTTTATGGCCTGTCTGATGTTGGTGCTGAAACAAAGCAGATGTTTTTTGTTTGTTTCTTATGGCTAAACGATGTTCCTCGAGCCTGGCTGAAATCCTTCTGTTGGTCTGTCCCACATACGTCAGGCTGCACGATCCGCATGCTACACTGTATACTCCTTGGTTTTCCAGAGTAATTTTTTGTTTTGGGTTTCTTAGTATTACTCCGATGGTATGGTCAGGTTTGTATGCCGTTGATATGTCTTGTTTCCGTAATATTCGGCCAATTTTGTCAGTAACCCCCTTGATGTATGGCAGGACAGCGATCGATCTTCGTTGGGTCTCGTCCTGCACTCTCTGCTGCGGCTGTTGTTGTTTACTGATTGCCTTGCTGATGGTGCGCCTTTGGTATCCGTTTTGTTGAAGACAGGTACTAATTTTCTTCAGTTCTTTATCTCTGTTCCTCTCGTTTGTGAGCCTGAAGGACCGAGCAATTAATGTATTTGCCACTGCCTGTATCTGTGATGGGTGGTGATGAGATTTAGCGTTCAGATATCTATTAGTGTGTGTTGGTTTTCTATAGACAGTGTGTTCCAAGTGTCCATCTTCGGTCCTTGTGATGTGCACATCTAAAAAGGGCAGACTGTTATCCTCTTCAAGTTCTATTGTAAATTGAATCCTTGGGTGGATGGAATTCAGATGATCTAGGAATTTCAAAAGCTCCTCCTTGCCAAAAGGCCATACAACAAATACGTCATCAACGTATCTTGTCCATAGTTTTGGCTTCAGATTTGCCTTCTCTATTGCTTTCTTTTCGAAGTAAATCATGAAGAGGTTGGCAATCACAGGTGAGAGAGATGATCCCATTGCTGCTCCATCTATTTGTCGGTAAATTTTCCCGTTGTGCATAAAGTAAGCGTTTTTCAGGCAATGTCTTGACAGGTCCATTATGTATGGCGGAAGATCTTCGTTTTCTTCTATAAGCAAGAGTGCCTCTTCTACTGGAATACTCGGGTAGAGGGATTTGACATCGAAACTTGCCATAATGTCGTCCTTGTCCATCCTGAGAGAACCTAAAATCTGAGTGAAATGTTCTGAGTTTTTAACATAGGAATCTGCCTTTTCCACTATAGGCTGAAGTGCACTGGCCAGATGTTTTTCCAGCTTGCCTAATTAACTCCGCATCTTGTTCGTCTATGGTGGAAAGACTTGCTTCGACGTTGGAAACGATCTCTTCGACGGGTACTCTTTTTGGAGCTATTGCGTAGTTAAATCCTTTATTCAGTACGCTGACTTCTGTATCGGAAAGATGGTATGCTGAAATATTATGAACTGTACTGCTTCGGTTTGTATTTGGCACTTGTCCTGATTTTTTGGAATTTGACTGAAGGATTTCTAATTTCTTCCACAGTTTTTTTGACGTGATGTCCTTGTCTTTCTCAGTGCGCCATGATGTTAATAATTCTATGCGGTCCCACAGCAACTGATGGATCTTGTTGCTCAGTTTCAGGTGGAGTCTGAAAAGTTGTAGCTCAGTCTCACTAATTTCGTACAGGGTCCGCCTGATCTGGTCTTGGAGTAGGGCCTTGCTAGCTTTGTCCAGGATAGCTTGTGTCTTTCTGGTGAGTGTGTGATAAGACAACCTTGTAAATGTTGGCAGCAAGTTCTGGTTGCGGCAGCTTTTGAGAAAATTCAAGTTGCACAGCGAAATAACCCTCCTTTGTCTTAGTTTTTCATAACACTTGGTGGCTGTAAAGGTCTCCTTCCCGTAAAGGTGTATGATATTCTCACGTATTGATTCACGGATGGAAAAATGTGATGACACTATATTCCGGGATATCATCCGTTCGCTCGTTGAACTCCGACTGGAATCCTGCATCCGACTGGAATCCTGCAAATCTTGCATCCGACTGGAATCCTGCAGACGTTTCGCCAAAATCTCACTTGGCATCTTCAATGCTCGCGCTCCGAAAACACTTCGAACACTGGGAGGTTATCGGCGGTGCGTGCGGTATTTATACTCTGCGCCGGAGATGGTAACGGTGCTGCTTGTGCGTAGGGGGAGGTGGCTCCGCCTCCTGAATTGTCGCGTTGTTAATTTCGCCCGATCGTAGTTGCGATGTCCCCGTTGGCTGCTGCGCATCGCTCTGCTGTTTGATCACTGTGTTCGAAGTGTTTTCGGAGCGCGAGCATTGAAGATGCCAAGTGAGATATATATATACATATATATATATATATATATATATATATATATATATATATATATATATATATATATATATATATATATGTATATATATATATATATATATATATATATATATATATATATATATATATATATATATATATATATATATATATATATATATATATATATATATATATATATATATGTATATATGTATATATGTATATATATATATATATATATATATATATATATATATATATATATATATATATATATATATATATATATATATATATATATATATATATATATATATATATATATATATATATATATATATATATATGTATATATGTATATATGTATATATGTATATATATATATATATATATATATATATATATATATATATATATATATATATATATATATATATATATATATATATATATATATATATATATATATATTTATATACATATTCAAATATTTCATTGGGGGCT